TGGTGTTTTCTCTCTACTCTGGCATTTTGTTGGGGAGTTTCAACACAAGAAGTTTGGTGTAAAATGCCAAAGTCAGTGTAAAATTGTTTAAGAAAGAACTCAGAACCATTGTCTGATCTGATGATTTTGATTTTCTTATCAAACTGAGTTAACACCATTTGGTAAAAGTGTGTGAGATGTTGTTTGATGTCTGATTTTAAAACAGTAGGGTAAATCCAAGTAAGTCTACTATAATCATCAACAATAGTGAGAAAATATTTATGACCTGAATGAGATGGGACTGAGAAAGGTCCCCAAACATCACAGTGAATTAAATGAAATGGATATGCAGATGTAGATGCACTTTCAGAGAAAGGTAACCTTTTCTGTATGGAGAAATGACACACATCACATGGAACAGTAGGTTTACATGTAGGTGTAAGAGATAAAGTTTGAAGTTTAGAGTATGATAAGTGTCCCAATCTGTAGTGCCATATAGATGAATCAGAGGTTACAAGGGAATGAGAGTTTACAGGTAGTTGAGGGGTTACATAGTTATCAGTATGAACAGTATTTAGAAAGGTATGATTAGTAGGTAAAGAAAGATGATATAGACCATCTTTAAGTTCAGCAGAACCAATCACTGTCTGATTTGACAGATCCTGTAATATGCAAGAAGATGACAGAAATTTGACAATACAGTTATTTGTGGCAGCCAACTTGGATACAGATATGAGATTGAATGCAAAAGATGGCACAAATAAAGCATCATGTAAGATTAGAGAATCAGCAAGTTGAACTTGTCCAATTTGAGATGCAATAGCATGATTACCATTAGGCATTGTGATTTTAACAGATACAGATGTGGTTGGTGAAGTAAAGAATTCAGAAGCACATATCATGTGATCAGTGGCACCAGTGTCAAGAATCCATGTAGTTTTTGATAAAGTTTGAGCAATCATACATAGAGAGGGTTTAGGAGTACCTGGTAGCTCAGCAAATGCAGTAGCAACCACAGGAGTGTTAGAGTTACTTTGTGTCAACTCCTGTGATTTCTTAAAGGCTAAAAACTCAGTAAACAAACGGTCAGTCATGGAAGATGCATCATTAGTGTTATCAGATATAGGAGAAGTAGAGTCAGTGATAACAGCATGAGCAGAATGTTTTGAAGAAGATCTAGGACCACGGGGACCAACCCAATTAGAAGGGTAACCAATGATTTGGTAACATCTATCAACAGTGTGGCCAACATAGCCACAGTGGCTACATTTTGGTTTTGGTTTATCATTTGGTTTGTTGGTGAAAGAGTTTGAGTTTGGGTGTTTGTATGTAGGAGGTTTGTTTGTGAAAGAATATGATGGTTTGTTTGTTTTGGCTAGCATAGCAAGAGAGTCAGATGATTTAGTGGTGTTGGATAAAGATCTCTGACTTTCCTCTTGAAGTAGAAGAGAGTAGACAGTAGCAAGAGAGGGTAGAGGGTTGGATAAAAGGAAGTGGCTCCTCAGAGATGAATAGGATTCATTTAGGCCTATCAGAAACTTCATAACAGAGTCATGATTCTGAGCAGTAGCCATAGCCTCAAAGATTTTACATGTACAATCAGCACAAACACCACAGACACATTTGAAAATAGGACGATAAGTCACATACTCATCCCAAAGAGATTTGAAGTTGCTGTAATACTGAGTAACAGATAAAGTACCCTGATCTATAGTACTAAGAGATTTCTCGAGATGGAAAACCCTAGGACCACTAGATAGGGCATATCGAGATTTCAATTCTTCCCAAACCTCATGAGCAATCGTAAAAAACAACAGAGACTGTCTAATATCCTTGTTCACAGAATTCAAAAGCCAGGACAACACAAGATTGTTAGCTCGAACCCAAGACATATATAGATTAGGGTTTTGAGTAGAGTTAGGGGCAGACAGAGTACCATCGACAAACCCTAGTTTGTTTTTGACGCTGAGAGCCATAGAGACGGCGCGAGACCAGGAGACGTAGTTCTCGCCATTGAAGAGCTCTGCAACTATGAGAGCACCAGGGTTGTCGCTTGGATGCAGGAAAAACGGTGATGTAGGATCGTCGGACGGACTGACGGTGAGAGACATATCGAGCGATATCAGCAATGAAAACGGATCAAAACAAGTACAGATGCAGCGGAAAAAAAAATCAAGATCTACTGGCGAATGATACCATATCAGATTTATCAGATTGAAGGAAGAAGATGAAGAACAAGAGAGAAGGAATAGAGAGAGAAAAAGAAAGCGGCGATGATATTATTGAAAGAGAGAAAAATGAAAATTACATTGTGTTTTAGGGTTAGCAAACCCTTTATATACATTTGGCTAAATAACAGAAAGTGTCAATTGCTAGTGACACTTTTACATATAAAAGAGATTACCAATAAAAGACTTTAAGTACAATACTCTAAAGCATAAAAGGTACAATTTATAATTCTATTATAAATGCAAACACTAAATAGAGATTTACTTTTCATGGTTAAGTTGAACACACTTGAGCAAATTTTATTATTATTTTAAATTATTCATAAGCTCATATGATCCAAAATTATTTTTATTATTTTATTATACATAATTAAATTGCATTATATTTATAATAATAAAGTTAATTATAATATTGAAATTCATCTATTAGTTTAAATAGTCCACATGGTATGGCCAAATTAACCCATAAAATGTTCACTGCAACCCAAGTTGTCATGGTTTTTTACTAATTTACAAATTATGTGTGATCCAATATAAACTTAGACAATAATTCAATTCATTCAACTTGGTGAGCCCACATAATTTTTTTTTTTAAATAAGTTTAATCTTATAAAATAAAATAATTATGATTCATGCAGTAAAATGTTTATAACAATGGCTAATATATTAAGATTCTGAATTATAGAATGAAAGATAAACTAAATATTTTTTTAGTTTATGCCTATTATATAACAACAAATATAATAACTTTAAAAACTTAAATTAAACAATATATTATGCAACTAGTACAACTCTCATGTATTACACGAGTGCTTGCTAATTTTTTTCTTAAAATCTAAAATTAATGAGAAAAAATAGTTAAAAATTTAAATTCCTTTTTATAAAAATATATATATTATTATATATTTAGTATGACACTTTTTATTTATGCGACTTACATGTGTTGTATTATAATATTTTTTTAACGTATAATATATAACTACATTACACATAAATATATCAATTAAGAAATAATTTTATTTTTCTAATGAATATTGATAAATATTATAATTTTTTATTTTTATTTATTTCATATATATAATATGGATGTCAAATCAAAGATCATCAAAAGATGATTAATTTGATATATTATCTATGTAAAACCGATAAAAAAACACAAAAATTATCAACTTAAAAAATACATTTACAATTCAGTAGCTAATTGAAATACATTTACAACTTTGAACCAGTAGCTTAACCCGTTTGAACCAATAGCTTAACCCGTTCGATGAAAGTTCAGTTTTCAAAACTTTGATAAAACCAGTATTCTAAAAATCGAATAAGTGTGCGCTAGGCCTCTAGCACTAGATTGTTAATACTTAATGTTGTCAAAACTAAACGAGTCTGATTCGACTCGATAAAGTTTGTTAAGTTCAAAAATAAGATTTTTATATAATTTTTTTATAGTTCTGACTCGTTAAAAATCTCGAGATTGAGGCTTTAACGAGCTCAAGCTCGATTTCAAGCTCGGTTATTTACCGAACCAAGCTCGAGCACCTTAAGCTAGAGCTTGGCTGACTCATTTACCGCCCTAATTGTTATATAAATGAGGGCTTGACAATTAGGTTCACAATCCAGCAGAACATCATTTTAACTCCACCATAATCAACATATATTATAATGACACAAAATCAGTTCACCAAAAAAAAAAAAAAAAAGTATAATTAAAGGGCATTAATTGTACCTAAAAATTCAACAAAGCAGAAAACATTTAAACTGATGATTGATCGTCAGACAGTGTTGTTGTGCTTCTTCTTCTTCCTCGTGACACATGATTTAACCAACTGCTTTAGTCCCTTCTTAGGAGTAGTCGACTTCTTCTTCTTCTCCGCCATCCCATTTTCCTCTTCTCCCCTCTCTCCCTCAAACTCTTCTTCCAACTGCATACACAGCTGACATACACCGCCAAAACACAGTAAGTACAACAATTTTGCTTTATCCTTTTTTTTTTTCAAAATTATGAACTAATAATTAACCTTCAAAATTCGATCCTCGGCACGGACCAGCCGATCGATCAGCGTGCCCTTCCGCTCGACCTCCAGCATCACCTCCTCGACCGGCCGGCAGTGCTTCTCGAGGCCTTCGGGCGACACTTCAGCAAAAGACGCCGGGTGGCCTTCGCTCGTGAGCGTCCCACTTGAAGTGGTCGACGCGTACGAACTCTTCGGCGAGTGGCTCCCGCTCCTTATGTCCTCCAATTGCTTCAGCTGCAATTTATCCAACATGAAGACAAAGAAGAATGAAATATGCATAAAAATCTGAGGAAGATATGCTACGGTCTCATTACAGAACTATTCCGAAAAATGAAAGTGGGACTTACGATGTGGTCAAGGCGACTGAGCCTAGAGAGCATTGGTTCTTCCAAGCTGCCCGATGACATTTTTTTTTCAATTTAATGGCGAGACAGCTTTGTGTACGTCTCTCTCTCTTTCTATTGGGGCTAAGATGAAGATAAACATGCTGTTTTGTACCGTGGTGATCATGTTGAGGCTTTCTAAAAGGATAAGATGTGTATCATGAGAATACGGTGACGTTTCTCGAGGATTGGGGACACGTGTGTTAATCATAGATGATAAGGTCCTTTTTGGGGGTTTAGGACGTCGACACGTGTGATGAACATGCACTTAATGGGAAGCCGCCGCGTTTATACTAAACAGTGGTGTCTTGCAAATTGAAAGTTGATTGAGTGCATGAGCTCGGGCATGCGTCATTATTGTGTGGTAACAAGTTTTTTTTTTCTCTAATCGGCCTACGTGGTGTTCGGTCGTCTTCGATTTGTACAAATTGGTCAAAAAAATTGGTCAGGCGGCGCCTAGGTGAACTTGGCGGTAGGGGCGAAACCAGAAAATTAGTTGAAATGGAGCAAAAGACATGACATAATTTGTAAAAAGATAACAAAAATGCATAAAAAAGTTACCTTATAATTACAATTGTTCACGACGAGATGACATGGTTTGAAATTGTTGCATAATAGTTTCATTACTAGTTTTATCAAAAACATCTTTTTCAAACGTATGGAACCATACAAGCGTTGAGCCAATCATCTTCCATTCGGTTAGGTAATCGATTTTTTATGATCTTCATTGCAGAAAATGCTCCCTCCACGGTAACAGTAGTGTTAGCCATATAAAAGAGCATGCGAGCTCACTAGTTGACTGCCTTGCAAGCACAGTGGACTGCCATGCAGATAAAACAACACGTGCCTTGCATGCTAGTGTGGAGCCTCCCAACAAGAAGACAAACTACCTTACTCTTCCTTATCCTATTCAATGTGTGGTCCAGAATTAATTGAAATAGGTAATGAATTCTAGATAGTTCTATATTCTCCCTTAGGTATAAATATAGCATTATGCTACAGCCGCCATGTACTATGCGATCATATTCTCTGCATAAAATTGAATGTATTCACAGAAAACTATGAACGAAACAATTTTCTTTACACTCTTGATGACGATGAGCTCTTTGTTTTTAAAATTCCAACATGGTATCAGAGGTTCAGGATAATCCTGGAGTCTCTAGTCCATTTTCCTCTTCATCTGCTATAATTTCTTCCTTTTTCTCTCTTCAAATGGCTGCAGAACAACCGAGCATAGTGCAGTTGCAATCTCAAATCGTTACTGTCAAGCTGACAGAAAACAATTACTTGGTATGGAAACAACAAGTTCTTGCAGCTATCAAGGGATATGGCTTGGATGCATACATCACAAGCAGAAGAGCACCAGCTCCCACCACCCTCGATGAAAATGGTAATGAGATTCCTAACCCTGCTCATACCACATGGAATAGACAAGATCAGCTTATTGTGTCTTGGCTGCTATCATCACTCTCTGAAAGCAATCTTATCACTACTGTTGGGCTTGAGACAACCTTTAAGATTTGGGATAACCTTGAAACTGCCTTTGCAAGCCAATCTAGGGCCAAAATCATGCAGTATAAACTGCAACTTCAGACCCTAAAAAAGGTAAACTTGTCCATGATTGAGTACCTTAATAAGGTGAAGGTCTGCTGTGATGGACTTGCTGTTGCAGGGCAGAAAATTTTAGAGGATGAACAAGTCACTCATATCTTAGCTGGTCTTGGGAGTGAATATAACCCGGTTATGGTTTCAGTGGGAGCAAGGCTTGAGCCTTATAGACTGGGGGAGCTACATGCTTTATTGTTGAGCTTTGAAAGTAGACTGGAAACTTTTAAAAATCCCCAGTTTGGTTTTGATGGCTTCAGTCCCAATGCCAACTTTTCTGCAATTGGCAATTCCTCTAAGAGAGGAGGATACAGCAACAGAGGAAGAAGCAACTCAAATTTTAGTGGTAATAGAGGTGGTAGAACAGGAGGAAGAGGAAATGGACCTTTTAGAGGTAGAGGTGCAAGGTCAGGTGGCAGGACTAGGTGCCAAATTTGCCACTTATAGAGCCACACAGCTGAAAAGTGTTGGTATATGGCTGACTTAAACTTTGTGCCTAAAACCAAAGAAGTGGCAATTCAAATTCTCAGGGGTTTGGAAATGATCAGGGATCCACTATGGCCAATGTTGCAAGTGTAGGCTCTAATGAAGAGGGCTCTCATGCTTATTGGTATCCAGATTCTGGTGCTACCAACCACATCACACATGACTTCATCAATCTTAGAATGGCCTCAGACTTTGCTGGTAATGAAAGGGTCCTTATGGGGAATGGAGCAGGACTTGACATCACACACCTTGGTAATACACTTGTGAAGGGAACTGTTCCTAAGAAACACACTTTTCTGCTTAAGAATTTATTACATGTGCCAGATATAACAAAAAACTTATTAAGTGTGTCACAGTTTGCGCAAGATAATTCAGTGTTTTTTGAATTCCATCCCCAATATTGCCTTGTGAAGGACCAGGGAACAGGAACAACAGTGCTGAGAGGGGAACTTAAAGGAGGATTATACTATTTCAAGTTATCATGCAGCAAAATCAATGAAAGTGAAGGAAATGTCAAAGGGAGTTCAACTCAAAGTGGAAGACCAGTTGTTTCTTATTCTAGTGTTATTTCTAAAAAATATTCTTTGAACTTATGGCATAGTAGACTTGGCCATGCAGCCACTGATGTAATCAAGAGGGTTTTGGTTAACTTGGAACCACCTCTTGAAGTTAATAATGATCTTGAACATTGTGGTGCTTGCTTGCAATCAAAGAGTCATAGACTCCCTTTTTATAATTCAGATGCTTCTTATACTGCTCCTTTTCAATTAGTGTATATTGATTTATGGGGCCCATCTCCAATAAAATCTCAGAATGGCTTCAGTTATTACATGAGTCTTGTGGATCATTATAACATGTTTACCTGGATTTATTTGCTCAAGTCCAAAACTGAAGTAACAACAGCATTCTTGCATTTTAAGAACTTAGTTCAGAATCAATTCAACACTTCAATTAAGATCTTACAGAGTGATGGAGGCACTGAGTTCAAACCACTAAATAGCATTTTTCTTGAAAATGATTGTCCACAGGTTGTCTTGCCCATACACACCACATCAGAATGGCCTAATGGAAAGGAAGCACAGACACATAGTTGAGACTGGTCTGACTTTGATGACTAATGCAGGTATTACCTTGAGATTTTGGGATGAAGATTTTACTATATCAGTGTTTTTAATCAACAGATTACCCTCAAAGGTTCTTGGTTATAAATCTCCTTTTGAAAAGCTATTTGATCAAAGGCCAGATTATCATTTTCTTAAGGTATATGGATGTATTTGCTTTCCATTCATAAGACCCTTGAACAAACACAAGTTGCATCAAAGAAGCTTACCTAGCACATTCATTGGGTACAACCCACAGCATAAAGGATATAAAGTTCTTCTGCCTGACAAAAGAATACTTGTCACCAGACATGTTGTGTTCAATGAGAGCAAGTTTCCTTTTCTTGAGAAAGCCTTATAAGAAAAGAGGACACCTCAAAATGTGGAACTCCTTTGTCCTCCACTCATGATGATGCAAACTGATAACTTGCCTTCTGATTCTAACAATTGTTCTTCCTCTCAGCACACTGCTAGTCACAACAATCACAATTTCTCTCCTCAGCACAGTGGTGGCCAACATACCAACCAAGCAGCCAATGAACCTCCACAACAATCCTCACAGGCTTCTTCAGACAACAACTCAACACCTAATTCTCCAACAGTTCAAGTGGGAAGGATAATAATAGATCTCCCTATTGAGAATACAAATAGACCACAATCAGCTAGCATTCAAAGCCAAGAGTCATAAAATGTGAATGAAGTTGTGTCCACTCATCCTATGGTCACCAGAGAGAAGGCTGGAATCAGAAAACCCAAGGTGCTCACTGCCATCTCTCATGCATGTTCAGAACCTAAAACATTATTAGAAGCTCTTGCAAACAAAGAGTGGACTCAGTCCATGAACAAGGAATATAATGCTTTAATTTCCAACAACACTTGGAGCCTGACAACCCTTCCTCAAGACAGAAGCACAGTTGGCTGTAAATGGGTATACAAATTAAAAAGGGATGCCTCTGGTAAAGTAGTTAGGCACAAGGCTCGGCTGGTTGCCAAAGGATTCACACAAATGCCAGGAATAGATTATGGTGACACTTTTAGTCCAGTTGTGAGACCAGCCACAATCAGGTTACTTCTGTCTATAGCCACTACTCATTCTTGGACATTAAAGCATTTGGATGTTGACAATGCTTCCTTAATGGGGAGCTTGATGTTGATATTTATATGGATCAACCACCAGGATTTGAAAAAGCTTCTCATTCAGGATCCCCTCTTGTGTGCAAGCTCAACAAATCCATTAATGGATTAAAACAGGCCTCAAGAGCTTGGAATTCAAAGCTCACTGCAGTCCTTAAAGCTATGAACTTTGTTGCCTCAAAATCTGATCCCTCATTGTTTTTCAGAAACCAAGCTCAAACATCAACCTTCATTCTAGTCTATGTTGATGACATCATAATCATAGGCCCCAATGACTTGGAAATCCAAGAAACCATTAAAGAATTTCAGAGGTTCTTTTCTATTAAGGATCTTGGCAGATTGACTCATTTCTTGGGTATAGAAGTCACATACAATGAGCATGGACTTGTTTTGAGCCAAGTGTTGTTATGTGATTGTTAACAACGACGTAATTTATGATTCAGTGAGTAATTTGGAATGATTTGAACGTATAACATGTAAGATTGGATCAACAATGACCCCGGTCCGAGGTGAACCGAGGTGAAGAGCCGTGATGGGCTTTTACGTGTTACTTAGTAAAGGGTTTACAGTTCGGTAATTTTGAGAAAAAGAGATCGATCCCCTTACAGTTGTCATAGGTCCGCTATTTATAGTAGTTTCGGATTGATACATTGGGATCCGTGTACTACTTTTTGAATAAAGTGGCTTTTTATGGGCGGT